ACCACCGCCCGCGCGCCCGCGGCACCCTGGGGGCGCGCACGTGACACCCGGTCCTGCTCCGGCCGCCACCAGCCGGCGGCCTCCGGCGGTTGCGGAAGGGGCTTGAGGCGGGCGGCAGGGCTGCGGCCCTTGGGAGCGGTGTGGCGGCGGAGGTGTAGGTGCGCATCTCTGAGGCATAGCTGTCCCGTTTCTGCCGCCTGTGAGCTATTAGCATATTTTTCCAGTATATTAAGGCCTGGGCTACCTCGGAGTGTGAGGAGGAGTGCTGGAGAAAGGGCTGTAGTAGCTGTCTGGGGCGGGAAGATGGGTTTTGTTGTGCATGTCCTTTCCTGGTGGCAGTGCCTAGGCAGTGATGATTAAAAACCATTCTAGTGTCAATGCTGCTGGCTCTCAGTGGAGGGGTCTGAAGTGCTAAGGCTTGGACAATCGGCACAAGCCAGAGTTGACCAATAGATGAATCCTGTATATTTTATAACCGATAACCGTTGTGCTAATAGGTATTGTTCTAAGTTATAACAACCCTGATGTAATGCTGATGTAAAAAGTGCTAAAGCATTGAAATACTGAAGCCTGAACAACAGGCCCCAAGCCAAAGCTGCTAACTTAGTATGTCATCATTAACAAAGTGTGTAAGCTCGCTAGTGAAAGATGTGGCTTAGAACATAATCAGTAGTGAGGATGAAATGCTGAGAGAATGCATCCAACTTCCCTTGTTTAGCCTTGTTCAAGGCTGAGAACCCAAGTGTTTGGCCTTGTTAGAAACTCCCTTGGTTCTCCCCCCTGAGCCCTGGCCAGGCTTTGGGTGGAATCCAACAGGAGAGTGAAACCAGAAATTTTCTGCTCAAAACAAAGGTGCCAGCTATTCTGGTTTATCGATCTCTGGTGTATAAGGCTGGACCCGCTCACAGCGACTTTGGCAGCCTCACCTGTGGGTGGACGCCCCGCGTAGGATTTCCCCCTTGCCGGGACAGGCTCTGCAAACCCTCGCTGTAACCGGGGCTGCCCAGCCACTGCGGGGCGGGGTGATGGTAACGTGTGCAAGTGGTGAGGGATCTGTCTTAATCACTAGTTTCTCTCTCAGATAGTAATGATTTGATGCATTACCCTGTATTTTCCTATTTGTTTCTTTAGGTGCATTATTCTGCCTGTCCTTACTGCATGTTTTACTCTGTTAACTGATGGCCTCTGTGACGGCCTCTGTGATGGACTCTGTGACTCTGTGATGGAGTTTAGGACTCTGTGACGGGCTCTGTGACAAGCTCTGTGATGGCCTTGACTCTGTGACGGCCTCTGGGTTGGCCTCTGGGACTCTGTGATGGATTCTGTGGCAGACTGTGAGACTCTGACGGACTCTGTTGCTCTGTGACTCTTGATGGTCTTTGTGACGGCCTCTGTGACTGACTCTGTGACTGTAACTCTGATGGCCTCTGTGACAGCCTCTGTGACGGATTCTCTGACGGACTGTGGGACTCGGTGACGTACTCTGTGGCTCTGTGACTGTGACGGACTCTGTGACGGCCTCTGTGACTCCGTGACTCGGACTCCGTGATGGACTCTCTGATGGACTGTAGCTCTGTGACTCGGACAGTCTCTGTGATGCTCTCTGTGACAGACTCTGACTATGTGGCTCGTGCAGGCTGTGTGGCAGCTTCTGTGATGGCCTCTGTGACTGTGACTCTGATGGACTCTGTGACGGATTCTGTGACGGTCTGTGGGACTCTGTGACAGACTCTGTGGTTCTGTGACTCTGACGGTCTCTATGTCGGACTCGTGTTGGACTCTGTGACTGTGTCACGTCTCGCTCAGACAAGGGGGACAAGTGCTCAGATTCGCAAATCTCCAATGGAGTGGACAACAAGTCTCCAAGTCCAAACATTTATTAACTACCCACAATGTACTAATTGAGAACACGATAATTGGCTAAGTATGTAGCAAGTTGTGGTGAGCAATACAATATGCCTCACATTTTTTAATGGAAAAAGGAAAAGAAGGAGATAGAGGGAATGGGGAAATACAGATCACTGGTCTGGGTTCCTGCGCTGATCCCGCCGGCGAGTGTTCCAGGAAGCTGCCGTCTTTTTTGCTGGCATCCGTCTTCTTTGCTTCACTGCTCTCTCCAGGCACCCAGGGGTGGGGTCCCCTTTTCTTCCCCCCCTTGATTTATGCACACTTTCCTTGGGTCTGTCCCCTAGGTCGACCCACATACCTACGTATCCCATGTATGGGGAGGGGTAAGGTGTTTCATGGGATGATATAATTAGCATGATCATGTTAGCCTTCATTAGCATATTGAAGGGTGTTAACTTTAATATGCATTTCTTGGATAATGAAGCAAAGTTTATTCACTGGACACATGGCCCTTGAAATTTGCCCAGGTGCCCCAGAGGAGGGCTGGGAACCCCACAGGCCTCCCCTCCTCCAGCTGCATCTTGTGTTATTCGGACAGTGTTATCAGCTTCGACCTCCACAGAATGCACCCTGTGACTCATAGTTTTGTCTTGCGAGTGTCTGAGGCATTTCTTCAATCAGCCTCAACTTTTGCTTTCCCAGGCTGTTCTTAGTTTCTTGCAGGCCTGGTTTCTCATCTCTCATAGACTGTGACTCTGACGGACTCTGTGACAGGCTCTGTGATGTACTTTGTGACGGGCTCTGTGACTCTGTGACCCTGTGACTGTGATGGGCTTTGTGGCAAGCTCTGGGATGGCCTCGACTCTGGGATGGCCTCGACTCTGGGATGGCCTCTATGATGGAATCTGTGACTCTGTGACTTGGACTCTGTAACAGACTGTGGGACTCAGTGATGTACTCTGTGACTCTGTGGTGGGCTCTATGGTGGGCTCTGTGACTGTGACTGATGGCCTCTGTGACTGTGACACTGACGGCCTGACAGCCTCTGTGATGGACTCTGTGACGGACTCTGTGGTTCTGTGACTCTGGCAGTCTCTGTGTCAGCCTCTATGACTCAGGCTCTGTGACAGAGTCTAGGACTCTGTGATGGGCTCTGTGACTGTGACTCTGACGGCCTCTGTGATGGTCTCTGTGATGGCCTCTGGGACTCTGTGACGGATTCTGTGACGGACTGTTGGACTCTGTGACTGACTCTGACTGACAGTCTCTGTGATGGTCTCTGACAGCCTCTATGACTGTGACTCTGACAGACTCTGTGACTCTGTGACGGGCTCTGTGATGGAGTCTAGGGCTCTGGGACTCTGCGATGGATTCTGTGGCAGACTGTGGGACTCTGTGACGGACTCTGTCGCTCTGTGGCTCTGACGGTCTCTATGACGGACTCTGTGACTCTGACTCTGACAGCCTCTGTGACGGCCTCTGTGACAGATTCTCTGATGGACTGTGGGACTTGGTGACAGACGCTGTGGCTCTGTGACTGACGGACTTGGTGACAGCCTCTGTGACGGTCTCTGTGACTCTGTGACTGTTAGCTGATGTCCTCTGTGACGGTCTCTGTGACTGTTAATTGTAAATAGTAAAATACTCCTACTCTTTTCACTCTGGTGTCTGAGTTTAATTAGTATCCTTAATGAGCAAAACAGGGTCTTGCAGCACATGTGTTGGCATTGCTAATGTCTGCTGGCTGAGTCCTGCTAATGCTTCCTCTCCTTAGGAAGGGCAGGGGGGTGCAGTTTGGCTTCTCAGAGAATCACAGAACACTTGAGGTGAGAGGAGACCTCCTGAGAGGGGGTCCAGCCCCTGATCCAAGCAATCAGCCAGAGCTGGTTGTCCAGGACTATGTCTGGCTGGGCTTTGCGTATTTCAAATGATGGAGACTCCAGAACTGCTCTGGGCAACCTGTGACAGTGTTTGACTACACTCAGAGTAAAAATAAAGTTTTGTTACATTCACATGGAGTTTCGTGTGTTTTAATCTGTGCCCATTTTGCCTGTCCTGTCAGTGGGCACCACTGAGAAAAGCCTGGGTCCATTGTCTTCCTTTCCATCAGGCATTTACATACATTGTTAAAATCCCCTGAGTCTTCTCTTCTCCAGGTTATACAGTCCCAGCTCTTTCAGTCCTTTGTCAAAGGAGAGATGCTGCAGTCCCTTCATCATCTTCAAGGCTTTTTGTTGGACCAGTATGTCCACATCTCCCTTGTACTAGGGAGCCCAGAACTGGACACAGCACTTCAGATGTGTCTCACCCGCA